CATACTTCTTGGATGCATTCTAAAATTCCTGGAGACTTGTTTTAACAGGTCAACTAAGCAGGCAACTGTTCCAGACAGATCCAGATTTCAGTCTGGAATGTCGTTTTACTCCTCCCATGTGCAGGAGGGGGAACAGTAATCTGTTAAGGAAAAGTCTGCGGATAAAATTGTCAACATTCGATAAAAAAAAAAACGTTATCAAGACATTCAGCAAATTTGATATTTAAAAAATAAACTTCTTTTAAACAGTTCTTTTCTTCTGTTCTTTGTCTTCAGTAATTATTTTTTGTGATCTAATTTTTGTATGTGTCCTTTTCACATTTTCCTCCACATAAGCTTTTGTTTTTTCTAGTGATTTTTTAAAACACAGTACCATGATTAATGAGATGAATGTGTAATAAAAGAACAAGTGTGGACAGACTAGAAAAGGGAATGGAAAAAAAAATCTCCAGTACTTAAAATATTTTTCGTTTATAAGTAGGTAGATATGCAGTATATAAATGAAGTGTTTCTAGTTTACTGAAGGCTTGTTATTCACAAAGTGACAGTCACAAGTAACATTCCTCCAGGTTTTTTTGGTCCAAGTGAAAAGCAGTCTCCATGCACATCAAAGACAATGAAGGCAGTCAAATCCACATCTGGAATACATCTGGATTGCTGTACACAGCTGTATAATGCATTACAAGTGGTTTAGTCATTTATAATGTTCTTTAAAAATGTGTGTGTTTCCTTTATAAAGTAATTGGTATACTTTGACTAACCGTATATAGGGTATTACAGTGGCTGGCCTTACTTAATTTTGTGGGTTGAGTGCCAGAATTAACACATTAAATTTATGGAATTATTAGTGTTTTTTTGCATACCCCAACGCAGCTGTGTGTTGGTGTGCATGTGGATTTTTACTGGCCAGTGGGATTTAATCTTCCTGTGATGAGGTTTGGTGCCCAGTAATGAACTGTTGTTTTTGTGAAACAGATTTAGTACAAGTGTCCCATCTAAATAATCCTCAGATTAATATCTGCCTTTTCCAACAAGTAGTGTGTGTTTGAAAAATTAATTAAATGTAACTAACTTCAGTGTTTTTTATGAAGGTATTGAAACACCTTTGTTTTTATAACATCTGGGGTGTTTTGACTGTTTTGTTGAAGTCACATGTTCTGAGTGCGATTGTGATGGGTTTTCTCTTCACATAGCAATGCAAATGGTTCAAATAGTTTATTGAAAAGGGGATGTCATATTTACTAAGTTTTATTTCATTTTTATACATTGTTTAATTTACTGCCTTAATTACTTATTTTTTGTTATTATTTTATTTTAGCCTTGAAGTCTGACCTGTTGTTGCACAGTGCAGGATTTATAAAACAGAATATGCAACAATCTAGGCTGTCAGTTAATGGTCCTGTAATGGCCATAGTTGATTTCATGTGCTTGGTGGCTTTTTTAGAAGCAGGGAAATTACATTTTCTCAGCTATTTCTGTTCACCTTGTCCTACTTAAAATGTCTTTAATATCCATTATAGCTGAAACTGAAGAGTGGTCTTATTTTGTGGAATTATCCTAGACTCAGATGGGTGCAGTCTTCTGTATTCCTCACTGTTGCCCTGGAAGTGAGGAAGAGTGGGAAGTAGGATTCTGTGTTCCATGCCAACCAGACCCATTGGCCTTCAAAATTATCGGACAACTTGGAACCAGTTTCCAGAAAAAAAAACTCTTGGGCCTTTCTGTATGTCTGGGCATAAACACCAATGATATGTTTATGTCCTAAGGCTACATGAAAATTAAGCAACACTGCAACTCTTCAGCGTAGGATGTCCAGTCAAATACAGGATTGTCATGAGTGTTACAGAGGCTGCTTAAACATTTGTAGGCCATGATGGGCTTGGCAAAATAAAATAATTTCAGAGACCACCAGTGTCACAAATTATATGAATAAAGGTGCATTGGTAAGACTTTTCCACTTAATAGTTATTAATAAACAATACATTTAATAGTTTGGGTTCTGTATTCTGTTAACTTATAGTGTACATCGTTCACAAAAAAACTACTTGGGCCGAGTGGCCTTCTCTCATTCGTAGTCTTTCTTTTTTCCTGTGTTGTTCTTATTTTTTGTTTTTCACCTATTTAAACGTGAATGTGTGTATTAATGCACAATTTGTTTCTTTCAGGTATACAAAACTTGGGTATGCTGGAAATACAGAACCACAGTTCATCGTTCCATCATGTAAGTCTTTTTTTTAATCTCGATGTAAAAAAAAACACTCACCATTGTTCGAACTGAACACTGTGGGTTGGCCTTTTATTCTTCACATCTGTCTGTGAACAACATGTTTGAATATTGTACGGGAATTTTCTGTCATTGAGAAATTAAATTTCACGTTTAGCTTTTTTCCTTGTTATTAGATATGAAATACACCTTTGATACTGCTTAATTGTAGAGTTTACAGTTTCTGTAGGAAAAGCAAATTCTTAAATTTCCTTATTGCATAAACTTTGATGCATTTGAAAGATTTAATTACTGTAATGTCTTTGTTGTATTTATATAATGTAATTTAACAGGTTTTAGTTTTCTAAGTAATAGGGATTTGCACAAAACAACGGTGTGCAGTGTGCAGAGGCACATACTGACATGAAAATGAGTTAAGCTCATTTAAATAAGTTAACGAATACAATCTTTGAATATCTGGATGATACTTTATCAGTTTCTAGTATAACAGTAAAGTGCTTAGTGGCAATTCCAGCACACTATGAAAGGAAACTATTTTCCAGTCATCTTGGACCACAGGAAGTTCTTTCATGCACTCACTGTACCGAATAAAGTGGCTTCTTTGCCAAGTTTCTGTTCTTCTTTGCTCCTGAGTGGATGTGTTATAGTAGTGGTTGCAAGTTAAATTTAGAAAGACTTTCTGGAGAGCTGTGAAGGAAAATAACTGCTGATATACTGTTCAATAGAAACAATGTGTGCAGAATTAAAGGGCTTGTGTTCATACCTATCCACTAAAATACAAATATCATAACCATGGAACCTGAGAGGAGAGCCTGTGGAAATGTTGTACCATATGTGAGCATTAGCTATCCTTAAACTGAATTGTTAATCAAATGTGAGTCTGGTTCCTTGCTAATTCTTGTGCTGTGCTTCCTTCTTGTCCTGTCATAAATGAAGTGTATTTATCTTTTGAGAAGAGTGTCATTTTTTCCCGGTTCTGGAGCTAAGCATACAATTGATTCTGTATATGCCAGTTCTTTTACTGCAGCAGGTTCTTGTTGTGGTTTCTGAGCTAGTTGTGTTTATAACTACTCTGTGACCTGTACATAAACACTAACGTCCTGCCTCTCAGGTATTGCTATCAAGGAGTCGGCGAAGGTTGGGGATCAGGCACAGCGGAGGATGATGAAGGGTGTGGATGACCTGGACTTCTTCATTGGAGATGAAGCAATAGACAAACCAACATACGCAACAAAGGTAGAAAACAAACAAACAAGCAAGCATGCCCCAGTGAAGAGCTGTAGATGTGCTCAGACAGCTCCATGGCCCACTGGCGAGATCTTAATTGATTCATTACACCGCTGATACAAATTGTCAGAGAGTGAAGGACATTTTTCTGACTGCTGTCATTCGTGTATTTAAAAAAGGGCTTTGAACTTGTTCTCATTCAGAACACGAGTCCATTGCGTTGAAGGGTCCAGTGACACTTGTGATCATTATTTGATTAACCTTTTGGCCAAAATAATAATTGTAGACAATTAGGTTCCGTAACAGTTAGCTGTACTTTTTCTAGCAGAATGATTGTGCTGTAAGCTTGTGAAAAGGAGGAAGTAGTCATCTGATATCTAATAAATATCTAATTTTTACAGTTACTTTTCTATTAGGGTTATCTGGTTCTATGCAATTGATGTCCTCATTGTGAGCTTCATGTTTTTATTCAAACAGTGGCCAATTCGTCATGGTATAGTTGAAGATTGGGATTTGATGGAGAGGTTCATGGAACAGGTTATCTTCAAATATCTGCGGGCAGAGCCAGAAGATCATTATTTTCTCTTGGTAAGAGGCGGTGGTGCAGTGCGTGTAAAATTGGGTTCTAATTTTTTCATTTGAAATAAATCAATATTATCTACAGTTATACACTGCAGATTTGTGCCATCTAATGTAAACGTTTCAGAATACATAAAAACCTGCAAGCACCGAGTGTTCTAAAGACTTGTTTTTTCTCCAAGTTAAATGCACTATTTAACAATTGTCATTAGAGCTAAATGGGTTACATTAAAACTTATGAACATTTATTATCATGAAAATCAAAATTGTGTGTTTTTCCTTCTTAGTTATATCACTTGTGTCATTTCACTGATTTTAATGCCTGTTAAGAAAGTTTTGAATCTTTTTGTAGACGGAGCCTCCTTTAAACACTCCTGAAAACAGAGAGTACACAGCTGAGATCATGTTTGAGTCATTCAATGTACCAGGCCTTTATATTGCTGTTCAGGTAAGTTGATAAATGTGCTTTTATTGAAATTTTCACATTTTTTTTGTATTTACTTACATCTTCAAATGCTGTCGATAAAGGTTTACTGAATGCTTTGAAGAAAGGATAATTTGAGATTGAAGGATTGTACGTTGCAAACAATGCAGTGTGTTCAGTCTTATTGCAATATTACCATGATTCCTGTTAGATATTTTCTTGAAATTGAATGTTGTCACGCAGTTTTAAGAATCAGAAAGTGAATACAATGATTCATTTTGAGTAATTTATCAGTCTTAATTTGTTTTAATTTTATTATAACTAATTAAAACATAGTTATTGTTAATGACAAAAATCTTGCTCAGCTCTCTCCGATGCCTGTTTATACATGCATAAGCATATCGCTTTTCTTTGTTTTGCTTGTGGGGTTGCAACACACCCCACGCCACATGGCCCATTTATACATGCATTAATTATTCCTCTTTTGACCTGTTCGTAATATGTACTGTATAATACATGAAGGAGTAGATCATCATGCCTGCTTTCTTCTCTTCCTTGACCTGATCTGTGCTGGAAGTGTTTTTTTATTGTTTCGTGGTGCATCCACCATGCATGCTTAATTGTTTGAAAAGATATTTAAAGTGAGGAAACTGGATGTTTTAATGCGGTTGTCATTCCAAAACCGCTAATGCTCAGTAACATGGAAGGTGAAAAGGACGAGCATGCATGGTGCTTCAAGTGCCCATTCAGCTTGCATGCTCTTCTAAGAATGCCACACCTCCTGTCATAAGTCTGGCAGGACTGCAAATGCATTAGTCTCTTATCTGTACTGTTTACATTACTTCAGGCCATTAGGACTCCAGCAAAAAAGTGTATCGCTTTCCAGCAAGGGACCAGCCGCAAAAATAAATACTAGTGTTGTCCCTGCTGACTCTATCCTCTTAATCACTTTGTCCTTTGTTTTATGGCCGTTTTTTTTTCCTTTTGGATGCTTTCACTCCATTGTTATAGTCAGTCCTCATCACATCACCACTATTTATGGGAAGTTGCAATGCCAATCCAAGACCTGGAAGTCTTTCCAAGGATTTGTCAGTGGTAATTCTTGTAATACAAAAGCCACCAAAACAGCTGTTAGATTCAGACCAAAAAAAAAAAGGTGTACAGTATACTGTAAGTGGTTCCCAGTGAATCTCCCTGAATTGCTCTTTGATTATGTGTTCAGAAATCAGGAATTGAAAATCCAGTGATGTTTTGTCTGAATGAGACTATAGCTCTGTTCTGTAATGCACTCTTCACTTGGGATGCAGTTTATTGATGAGGATGAAGAATAATGCTGCCTGCTTTTGTTTTTCCAGGCTGTTCTTGCCTTAGCTGCCTCTTGGACCTCAAGACAAGTAGGAGAGAGAACGCTAACAGGAACTGTGATAGACAGTGGTGATGGGGTGACTCATGTTATCCCAGTTGTAAGTACATTGGCTGTGCTTTTTTCCCCCATTACAGTCTGAGTATGCGAAAGCTTATCATTGCGATATCCTCATGCTGGCTCTGTGAATACCAACAGGCCAGCCACCAATCTCTCTCTTAATAATTCAAACAGGATCTCTTTCTCCAGGAAATGGGAGTGGAGGCAATATAAAAATGTCTGAACAGAGAAAATCACAAAAAACTGTTAAAAAACGTATTCATTTGCTACTCAGTTTCCTCACCAAGGGCTATACGTAATTGGTGTTTTGAAGAATTGAAACTCTCGTCTTTGGCCAAAGCAATACATCCAATGTCCTTTTATATTATTACGTTAAAAACAGTAGCCAAAAGCTGTTCCTTCCTCCTGATTTACAGATGTATAAAGAATTATTTTCAGTTTCAAACAGTACGTTCTTCGTGTAGTAGACTTTGGACTGGGTGACTAAGATCGTTAGAGAGTGACATTGTTCCCACTGAAGAAGGAAACTGGGCATGGTTATCATGGTTCTCAGAGGAAGGTCTAATGGTCTAATGGTTGTATTCTTAAAAATTGTGTTTTCATAATTGGAATTGTATGGTGGATTCCAGAGTGTTACATCCAACTCCTAGTCTAAAGAAGGGTTTTGACTACCTGTTTTCTCATGCAAGCGCTCTGTAAATGGAGAAGCTGAAGGGAACTATTTTTAAAAAGATGTACTGGAGAAAAGACTAGAAATGTTTGATGGAATTTTTTCATGTTAAAAAATAGCAAAGACTACGTTAACCACATTAACTTCCACATCCAGAAAAAAAAAGACTGACTGCAGTGGCTACAGTTTTCATTTCAAGAGGATGAACTAAAATTAATAAAAATCCAACAGCTCCGAGGTGTTATAAAATAAGCCTTAACTAGAAGTATGTTCTGCTCTTTGTTTACAGATGTTTTTTTTCCCATTTTCCACAACTAAATGCCTAAGTGCTGATTTGAAAATGACCAATTTGAACCCTGAGCGCCTTTGAGCTTCAGGAATGAGCAGCTTTCCCTTTGGAAATATTAATGTTTGCTGTCTGTATGCATTCTCACCTTGAGAGGCTAACTGGTACAAAGCACAGTGAAGCGAAAGTTTATTAAAGAATAAAAGGATCTATTGATTTTAGTGGGAATGGCAGGACCCCTTGCTGAGAAACTGTAACGATTGTTTGATGTGCAGAAAAGTGACACTGTTCCAGCAGTTTTCTGGTAAAGAATTTGGGTTTCTTCATACATCTGATTAAAAGACTGTTTCAGTTCTAGGGCAGAACTTGGGAGTGTCATGATTCTAATGTATGATCAAGGGATACTTTATCTGTTGACTCTGTAAAATCTATTCTACACCAAGTCAGACTTCTTTCACACCAATTCTAGCACTTCTGGTGAATATAGAGACGCACACACTGACGTCATGTGGCCGAGAAGGCTAATGAGCAAAAGAAAGTGCCTGCCTGCCAAGTGCTAAAGACGGCATTGCTTGACAACAAATTATTTGGATGGGTTGGATGATATTGTGTGGCTTCACAAACCACTAAAAGGGCGGTGCACATTATTGTATGTGAGGCAGCTGCTCAATATAGCCTTGTTAAAGTGCTTTGCCAATATTTGAAGCTTCAAAGTATTTTTTTAAAGCAAGATTTCTCACTTGCTTGGTCCACTAGATTTTGGAATACGAGCTGCTCGTAGAACAGGGAAATCTAGTAGTTTTTATGTTTTTCTTCACACAAAGTGGAGCGTGTGTTAAGTAAATTAAGACTTTTACAAGATGCTTAGTTTCCGTTATCGGCATGGTTAAAGGTTAAGTTTCACTGCTCAGAAGCAGTAGTATGCCTGTGTTGTATGCATTTCCTGCAGGTAATGACTTTGCAGTGTCACACGTTTGAGGGGTAATTCTCATGCTTGTTACATGATACTTTTGCATTCGATTTTTGTCATGGTTAGCTGCTCACATTTTCAAAATGATTTACGTTCTCGGAAGAATTAAATGTTCAGCTGCTATTTTCTTAAGCCTGATTTATTTGAACCTGGTTGTATGAGCACTTTAATATACTTGTGATGACATTTGATAAAACAAGGCTCTAGTCAAGGAGAGTCAGGCAAGTCAAGTGGTAGAGAGTGCAGTTGAATGGAAAATAGACAATATCTGTGTCAGAATGTGACTACTGCTGTTGAGGAAGCTCATCAGGCTTAGATAACCTCAATGAGCAGCAAAGCACCAGATCTTCAAAACCGATGCACTTGAGGAGTTAAATCTAACAAAATTAATTTTACTTTCCAGTGATGTAGATAAATGTCATTATAATAGAGAAATTGGTAAAAATCTTAATCAGCATTAAAAGGAGTTACTTTAAAAAAGTGAAAAGCACATTGAGATAAAAAGCCTAGGACAGTATGAAGATAAATAAGACATTTGTTGATCAGTGTTTGTTGTGTAAATCCTTCAAGTTACAGTTTTTTTTTTATTTTTCGGTTTCGAAAGGATCTCAGACCAGGCATTTATCCTGTGCTGCAACTTAATTAATTCTCACTTTTTCTTGGCTTTTCTAGGCTGAAGGGTATGTGATAGGCAGCTGCATAAAACACATACCCATTGCTGGGCGTGATATCACATATTTTACCCAGCAGCTTCTGAGAGAACGAGAGGTGGGAATTCCTCCAGAGCAGTCCCTGGAGACTGCCAAAGCTGTGAAGGTAGGAAACAGCCATAAAAATGGCTTTGCATTTCAAAATTCCGATTAATGGGAAAATCTGAAAGACTGATCCCCGAGTATGATTAAGTCCAAGGGTGTCAGTGTCAGTTCCTGTATGACCTTTTTTGTCCACTGGTTTTAGTTCTCCGTTTCATAATGAGTCTAATTATTTAACTGCCTCAGTGTATGATACTTGTAACCTGGCTCTGAGATTGTTTTTCACCTTCAACGAAGTGAGTGTTATAAGTAATCAACTGTCAAAGACCTTAAGGAAAAGTTCTTGCATATGTCGGTCTGACAAAGTAATTAGGTAATGTGTTTAATTGACTGCTCAGGCTGGAGACAAAAAAACAGCAGATGCTAGGCTCTCCAGAAAATGAGTCTGACACTCCTGACTTAATTCATACCTTCATTATCGCTTCAGACTCATTTCAAATTACATTGTGAATCTTAGCCTCCCTACTTGGATGATTAAAATCCTAGATTAATTTTTTTTTCTTATTTTCAGTTCAGAAAGTAAGGTTCTGCTTTATATTTTGTGATACAGTACATCCCATTGAGATACAGGAATGTAAATTTGGATTTCTGTACTTTTGAGTTTGTGATTTATTGCCAATACTATGCATTTTACATTATTTCTGTTCTTATTCTATTTCGTAGTAGAGGGAAGTATCATAATTTAATAAGAAGATTGAAGTGTCAAAACTGTAGCGAGAGACTGCAAAATAATTGCTGCATCCACCCTAACTATGATATAACAGCAGGTGTCACTGTAACTCCATTCTTGTTAATTTATTTATCTTTTTCCAATAAATCAAATTGTTTTTGGTTTATTGTTCTGGGAAACCCTTTGTCTAAAATATTTTTTGTCTCCTAAATGTTTTCTTAATTCTAGGAACGTTTCAGCTACGTTTGCCCAGATCTAGTAAAGGAGTTCAACAAGTATGACACAGATGGGTCCAAGTGGATCAAGCAGTATACTGGTATCAATGCTATTAGCAAGAAAGAATTCACCGTTGATGTAGGCTACGAGCGATTCCTGGGACCAGAGATCTTCTTCCATCCTGAAGTACGTTTGCTATTGTGTGAACCTTGTTTGATTAACCTTTGAAATATATATTTTTTTTATTTCTGTGGAGACATTCTTAGAACAAGCATAGTGAAAGAAAACTAGTAATATGGCAAGGGTAGAACTGAATTTCTACACACTAGGTCTTAAATGTGTTCTAAAATAAGGTTTGAATCCCTTGTGCATGCACTAATCTGTTATATCCCTACTGAATTAAAGTTTAGTGTTTTTGATCAATTTTCTTGTTGCACACCCAATTAATGTTTATAGATTGTTTCACTTTTAAGGTTACAAGTTTACATTGGGAATCTAATAACTTGTGTAGGTACTATTCAGTACAGTGGGGACACAATAATAGCCATTGATAATAGATGTTGCTTTTAAGTGAGTTGCAAGTTGTGGTGATGAATTTCATTAGAGAGTGGAAAAGGGAAATCAACCTTTTTTTTAGAAAATAGTGCCTTTTACACTGTGTAATTATTATGAATAGCAAAGCCTGAATGTGAACAAAATGTCTTCAGCTGTCTCTCTAACAGACCACCTGCTGAGAAGTGATTTTTTTTTTAAGGAATAGTTGGAAAAACTGTTTACCTCGTATTGTGTTTTGTAGTTTGCCAACCCTGATTTCACACAGCCAATCTCGGAGGTTGTAGATGAAGTTATTCAGAACTGCCCCATCGATGTAAGACGTCCTCTCTACAAGGTATGTCTCATTTTCATACACAAGTGGCTCTGTTATAGATTATTTTTTCCAGAAAATGAAAACCATTTCAGTCATCTTAAAGGGTACGAACTTGTTGCAGTTCTGTTAAATAAGAAATATGAGAAGATTTGGACAGCTGGATGCTCCTGGGTCTCTTGACCAGTACTGATATTCTCTCGGAGCTGTGGCCGAGCCCTGTGGTCTCTAGGGCCCGGGTTCGAGCCAGGATCCGTGTCATGAGCTGAGTGCGATCGTGGTTCCCTAGGCTGCATTGGGTGGTACTTTGACGAACTGAGGGCCTCGGGTGCACCACAGCAGCTCCTCGGGTCTACCAGGAGCCTGTGAACGTGCAGCGATGTTGGCGAGGTCGGAGCACGCCCTCCTGTCAGCCGCCGTGCCTCTTGCCGCGCGTCCAACGCGTCCCGGGCGCGTCCCGAGCTTCAGGCTCACCCCTGGCAGCAGAGGAGCTGCAGGTGAAATGCCACGTTGACAGACCAGTTGGCGATTCTCAGATTTGCTTGGTATAAAACAGTAGAAGAAGTGGTGGCTACAGAAGTTTAAATGAAATGACGGATTCAGCTAAGAAGACTTCATTGTTCCAGGGTTTGCGATCCTAATCTCTTTGTCTCGTGCAGAACATTGTTCTTTCCGGAGGCTCCACCATGTTCAGGGACTTCGGGCGCCGCTTGCAGCGAGACTTGAAAAGGACAGTTGATGCTCGCCTGAAACTCAGTGAAGAACTAAGTGGTGGAAAACTAAAGGCTAGTAATGCATAGTGTTTGGTACAACGTACTTTTGCATACTGTATGTCTGTCCATAATTAAGCGATTAAATAATTTTGAATTTGCAATTGATTAATTAATATTTTGTACATCTCGTGAGCAAAATGCATTTCTGTATCACTATCTGAAATATCTAATTTATGATTTTAATTTATTTTTTTGTTTTTACAGCCAAAACCCATTGATGTACAAGTGATTACTCATCACATGCAGAGATATGCTGTTTGGTTTGGTGGTTCCATGTTAGCTTCAACTGTAAGTTTTACTAAGCAATTTTAATACATTATGTCATTGTGTTAAAATATTCAGCAGTAGAACAAATGGTTGATTATGTTAACAAATCAAAATGTCTAATGATCTTTTATGCAGAAGTAGGCTTTTCACTATGTGTCATGGTTGTGTAATATCATTAGGAATGGTGTCATGATAAGAAACAGTACCTGGGGACAGCATTGGACAATACATTTCAAAGCAAAGTTGTATGGGCTTCATGCTTTATTTTATTCCCCAGGGGCTTTAGAAATTTCACTGTTTGCATTTTAGGAGCTGTGTCTTCATTTTCCAATACATCCATTTTCTTATAATTGAGGACAAGTTCCTCAAACCTGTCTGACTGTGGAGTAGTTTTTCAATTTAAAAAAAAAAATGAAAAACATATTAGATTAGATTAATATAATGTAACATGCGATTCTAGCAAATGTTTGAAGAAATGCTGATCGTGGACATTTTCCGTGTGTTTTATTCCAGGGAATTTAATAAATGTATTATTCCGTGCTTCGTTGACTAATTTTTTTCCTTTTCGTTGCCTTCGCAGCCGGAGTTCTATCAAGTATGCCACACCAAAAAAGACTATGAAGAGATCGGCCCCAGTATCTGTCGTCACAACCCTGTGTTCGGAGTCATGTCTTAAAAGCTGACCTCAACAAGTTCAGGGCTGACAGGGTCCGGGGGGGGAGGGGGGGGATGTGCTTTGATTGCCTGTTCTGTCTGGATGGCTGCAATTGTTGAAAAACATAAAGAAAGATAATAGATTTTAAAAAAAGACCAAACACAATCAGGCTGGAAAATTGTAGTGAATGTGTCTTCACCATGAGGGAAATCGTGCTAAACCAAAACAATTTGATTTTCATGTTCGTCTCTGCTGAGAACTCTGGACGGAAAAAAAAAGTGTTACAACACTTTGTCAATGGTTTTAGATCTTTACGTGCCCTACTTTTTTGTACATTGATGAGTTATCCTCATCTCAAGATGATTTGAATAGGTTTAGTCCTCAGCTCTGTTGTACTTCAGTTGTACTTCTTTATGTGTACAAGGCAAGAGCTTGTTTATATTTAATACAAAGTTTTTATACATAAAGATGGGGAACTGTAAATGTATTTACCAATTCTAACAATGTAATTTCCCAAAAGAAAATCGAAAACCCTCATCGCGATAGTCCAGTCTGCTCCAAGATATAACCCACCTCGATTTCTCTTTTTTTTTTATATGGTCACCTTGACCAACATCTTTGGGAACAAAACCTTAATTCCAACTAATTGATGCCTGCTAGTGCTTTCTGATTACTCCATGCATTATTTTCTTCTAGTTCTTGCTGCAAAAAATAGAATAATGGTAACAATAATAACAATAAATGAAAAGACTGTTGGACCAGTATTGTAGCCTAGAGCCTCATTGTTTTTGATAAGTACCAAATAATTCAATGATCAGATTGGTGTATTTAATGCCTAGCAACATTCCAATAAAGGCGCAAAATTCTTTCTACATATTTTGTCTGAGTTTTTTTTTTTAGGACATTGCAGGGTCCATGAAATTGCTTTGCAAAGTGTGATGTTGCTCATAGCGAGCCATTTTAGATTGTAAAGAAAGAAGGATTGCTTTGTGAATTAGTCTTTGTCTAAAAGGTAAAAAGATGAGCACACTTTATTGCCCATCAAAAAGATGTTCACATTTGTGGCTGTGTCCTCTTCACTAGTTTTGAAGAAACACATTTCTTACGTTTTTTTCCCCCATTTAAGTTTTTTTCTCTATTTGCTTGACTTTTGTATCATGCAAAGGATTGTGCATAAAAATAATTTTGGACATAACTGAAATCAGATAAAAGTTATGTTAAATTACTCAGAGGTAATTTTTTGCATATACTGTACTGCCAAAGGCTTGACAATGTTTACTCATTACTCTGTTGCACTGGCTGAGAAAACAGAGGTGGTACCTTTTAAGGGACACATTTGGTTTCAGAGAAATTTTTAATAAGGACTAATGTATTGAGAGGTGACCTTCTGCACTTCTTTTTTCCAGGTACTCTTTAAATAACATAGGGTTCATATTTGTCATTGTGGTGGCATGCATCTCCCAAGTAATGCTATTTAAAAAAATTAAATACCATTAGTGTTTTCTGCCAATTTGGTGAAATGAAACCTAGACGTACAGTAGGTCACTTCTGGCTGATGTGAGCCTGTTACATCCCACAATATCTAATGGCACTGCTGCGATGAATACAGAAAGCTGAGAATATGATATGGGGGAAATTTAATAAGAAAAATGGTTAGTAAGCAGAAATGGATTCAGCAAAAAGCATTGTTGGAGGCATTTAAATGGTTTTATATGATAATGTGATGAGTCCTAGAAAGCAATAGGTCTTCTCTTTCTGGCCAGGTTCTGTTCTGGTCTTTAGTTGTGGATGAGTGTAGTGTTTTCAGTTGTATTTCAGAATGGTTTTCAAACTGCTTTGTTTCCTTTCACACTAGCCCTGTTTTCACTGTCCGTAAAGGCAAACTATTAGCTTTGTGAGTGACCTGATATACTAAAAAGACTTGGAACACTACTTGTATGGGGAAGAGGCTGTTTTATATGAAACATGGATGTCTTTAATGAGATTCAGGCGCACTGGGGAAAGGCATTAGAGAAACTCAATTCCATTAATTAAATATATAAAAACGTTCTTAATCCTGAAAGAGTGCGCTGTATAGTTTTACAGTAGCTGGTCCATGACAATTACCAGTAAAACATTAATTGGCTTAGTGTCATGTAATGTCAGTAGAAGATCACCATAGAATTTGTTTCTGCACAAAGAGGAAATTGAGTGTGAAGAGTAAGACAAAGCAAAACATCTAAGGCAGAAATCTCCAAATCTGCACTTGTAGAGTCTCATAACACCAAGCATTATAGCTTTGTCTATCAACTTGAATAATATCATTGTGATCTACAATATTGCAGATGTCTGTTAAGTAATTTAAAGATCATTAAGAACAAAAAATGTAAACACCCTACTTTCCTCAAGGACCATTTCTTTGATTGAGCCCATTAATTGCTTAATTGATCTATTACAAGAGTTTCTAGTCTTTAGAAATGCATGATTTAGTGTGACCCAGAAGGTCTTGGGAGCAAGGCTGCAGTCCCCTGGGGTCAAAGGTTTTGCAAATTATGTATGTGTTGTATAGATACATTGCCTGTTCAGTAATGTATAGTGTATATAATGTTACCTGGAGCTATGCAATGTCTTTCAAATTTTGTATTAGCAGATAATTTAAATCTTTTCTTACATGTAACCTCTAAATTAGAAGAAGACAGAAGCTATAATTTTAAATAACTAAAATTGCTTTTCCAGTGCATGGTACTCAGTGGATGTTATGCTTTTGTTTTCCACATTGTGCAAACAGAGGATGTCTGACTTGACATTTTAGGGTAATAGTTTGTACCTCCCAATTTTGTTTTCATAATGCACAAGAAGTTTGGAAATATAGTAATTGTCGCCCTGTATGTCCTCCTTGCCCTCATTACTTCCAGCTCTCTCATGGGTGAAGGAGTGCCCAACTGTGTTATTAATTGATGGCCTTGTGGAAAACAGAAGAGAGGTTTAGTCTGTTCAATATCATAAGTTCACATCCTGTCCTGTAAGGAGGTTATGAATAGTGTTAGGGCGAGAGCAGTATGGAGATCCTCTTTGAGTGGTACGTTATGCACTGGTGTTTGGAGTGCGTGATGTTCACAGTTGCTGGGGATGTCATAGGAATTTATTTTTGGAATGTCTGCCATTAATTCTTCACTCGTGCAGAGACCAGGCCCCAGCTGCAGCTGTTCTTGTGTAAAAGCAAGTTGGGTGAGAATCAAGAGTGCTCTTAGCAAAGTTCTACTATATCCAGTATGACCCAGGATATTTAAAAGGAAAAATAATAGTTTGAGTGTAGAGCTGCAGTAACATTAGCAGCAGTTAATTCAAAGATGAAAAATATGGAGGAAGATAAGCATTTCAGCTGTTGAGCCTTCCAGCCTAAATTTAGTTTTTCTTTCATACATTGCAGTGTGGAATTCACTCGAAATAATGCCCTAATTGGATAGAACCCCTTTGCCTTGCACAATCCCTGCTTTCTGCTTTTGAGCTTTTTCAGAAGTCCGTCAATTGCAATAGGGAACCTGACCAGGAGAACTTGCAAATGATGGACCCCTGAGATAATGTCAGTAGAAAGCAATGAACAAGGGGAGGTGAGCCAGTGAGAATGTGGAAGATAAACAAAACATACAGACATTTTCAACATTTCATTGATATTAATGTTGTCCTTTTAGGAGTAGAAGAAAAAAAGATTCTAACATTTATACCATGCATGTCAATGGTAGACATCCCCAGTCAGTCTCTTGGGCAGTGAAGGTTATGAAAATATTGAATAAGTACAAAATTATCAGAAAGGAAAAATGTAGTGACCAATGGGTTTTTGACTTTAGTGATTTAAAAACAGTGTTGAAATGCGTCATTCCTCACCCGGCCACCAGATGGATCTTTTCTGCAGCAAATGAGCCTTGAATTCATACAACGTTCGAGGGAAAAGATGATCAGTGAGCATTGACTGGAGCTTTCTGGGTCCGCATCATCAGACTTTTGAGGAAGTCTAGTTTTATTTCACTTTTCCATAGTTGCTTTCCATCTGACACGTTTTTATGTGTAAAAAAAATAAGCTTTGGGAAGACTTGAAAAGATGGGAGTGTGCTTTAGAGGCAGGTGGCACTAACTGGGGAGTTTTGCACATGGAGTGAATGAAAGTCCAAGCGGTTTCCACAATTCAGCTTTTCCTGAAAGAACAATAAAAAGTGAGAAAATTTTACATGCCAGTGTTCCACACTTTTTTATGATCATTGTCACTCAACATCAATCACTGTTGAGTGAACTTGGAAACAACAAACAAGCCTTGTTATTCAATCTAATACCCAGATCAATTAGCTCCTTGCTACCAAACAAGATAGCTGGACTCCTCGTAGTTTTAACCTGTTTTTATTTTATTTTTTTAATGCCAAGGTGATAAAACAGTATATGTATATATTTTCTGAAGATATGTGATAGATTTGTTTTGGTCGTGTTAATCAATTCCTAGGATTAATTACTGAATCAATTCATTTTATTTGTTGTTAATAAACAATCGAAAGCAAAAACGGTCACACTGTATACCGTACATAAGCAAACTAAAGAAGATTTTAAAGTCAGTCCTTTCATTTAAAGTTGTATTTCACAAGGTGAAGCAATAATGAAGTCGAAATAATGAAGAAATAATGAAGTCGCATTTCTATTTTAATTATTTAGCGATACAAAGCAAAATACAAATAAATTGTGAAATAAAATTCTGAATTGCTTGTTGGAAAACTAGTCCCTGGCAGGACTATGATATTAGAAGCTTGCCAATTCAAGTCACAGGCAATCTGACAATTTCTAGAGGTCTATCCATATCAGCTTCTGTGTCTCGATGTTGCTTAAATTCGATCTTGACATGCATGCAATCTATTGCTCCACTGAATTCTGGCATCATAGCGTAGCAGTGGAAAACAGTAAAGCTACCCCTGTACTTCATCTTTATCAGACATTCATATCTACTGGCTGAGCGTTCCTGCAATCACCTGAAATTCTTTGAGGGCAGCCAAGCAGGACGAGTTATCATGCACATCAATCACATCAGTCAGGCTAAAATATAAAGTATCAGTGATCGATACCTGGATGCCTTAAGAAAGTGAAGCCAATTTTGCCTGTTGGATTAATTCAGGCTATCCATCTTTTGGAGCAGTCTATTTAATAGATATTTTCTCTAACAAAAAACCTTGTTAGTGCTTGATAAGCCCTTTTGCATTTTTCTAGCTAGACAGCCAATGTAGACTGATTGCCCACCACACTAAGATGCGTCTTTCTGACTCTTTAGAAGGGACAAAGGCCTCAGTAGCACAAAAGGCATGATGGACTGTCCATTCAGCTAATCTCTCTCTATTATCTATCTTTTTCTTGTGACTGGGTTAACCAGCAATGCCAGAGGTGTCTACAGTATGTGTTGAAGTCAAAGCAGCCACTTTGAGAAATGATTATACAAAGTGTTTGGTGAGCTCAGTGGATTAACCACTTCAGCCAGTTATTGCCTCAAAGAGATACAGTATGCAACCATACAGACTTCCATGCTCTGAAATGTACATCCCAATGCCTATGGACAATTGAAATCACAGAATTGAAGACAAAGGATGCTTTTGTTCTGATGTAATCAAATACATGCATGTTGTACTTATATGTACTCATATGTTCACAAATTGCTTGACTTAAAACAAAAATAATGATACTCCCTTTAATACTTTTCATATAAAACTACTTAATGATATTATTCATTATTTTTTTAGGTTTGTTTATAAAGACATGATGGTAAGATATAGAGCTTACCAGAAAGAATGTCTTTTAAAAAATATATGAGGAAATTCTAGAAATACATCTACAGTAGAGAATTAATTTAATAAAAAACTGTGTATA